ATGAACAACGTTAAATAAGTAGGTTAGCACATGGTGGGAGAAAAGCAGCCAGGTTTGAGTCTGACCTGTGCCCATATCTGTTGCATAACCCCGCTGCCCAGATTAACACCAGAGCATCCTGCATGTGTTAAATGAGTACCACTACAATAACTACTCTGCACTATAATTTTAGTGTTAGTGTGTGAGCATGTGTACTGTACCTCTGACATCTGTGTGGCTGTGTTGCCTCTGGCCCCCAGCATCACCATAGCCAGGGCTGAAGAGATGCTGAACGGGGAGAAAAAGATGTTTCCCGTCTTGTTGTTATTGCTCAGCTGTTTGAGCAAAGCCAGAGAGAAGGAAGTGTTGTCCTTGGGCAGAGAGGTTGCTGATGCCATTGTTTCTGGTACAAAGAAGTCAGGCAGTGAGTTGTTTAATGCACCAAGCAAGATTAATTAAATCTAACTGAGCTTCACTTTACCTAAAACTACAAAACAAAAACTACGGCAGCTGTTATTCAGGGTTTTTGTTTAAAACGACATCCTTCATGGTGTGTATGCAGATTTAGTCACAAAGCTCCCAGAGAAGTCAGTGAGTTATAAACAGCTGAAAGGGTTAGCATTACTCTTTGAGTGCACATGGGAAGAATCTGCAACAGGATTACAGTTATACACACAAATGTAAATATAGTATATAGTAAGGGCGTAGATTTGGTTTTGGCATTGGTGGGGACGGATGATTCAACCACCGAACCCTGCCCTGTTTCTTTTTTTTCCCCTTTTTTTCTTTGCTTCTCGATAAAAGTATTTTAGGCTTTAGTTTACTTCAGCCATATTCCATATAAATCAGGTATCATACAAAAATAAAAATAGCTTCAAATACAGTCATGACAATAAAAGAATATGACTTTAAGGACTTAACAACATTACTTCAGTTATAGTACACCAACATCTCTTATACATTAGCACTAAGGGAACACTGAATGACCTGGTGGCTTTTGTCCATAAAACTACTCATCTAAGATTACCACAAAGTAAAAGATCTCTCAGCACAATTAGCAACATTGTAGGCACTATTGCCCCGATTCAATCAGTGAGCTGAGATTTTTTTATTCTAAACTGTTACAGCAACAGACATGAACTACATGCCCCACACAACAACACACTATGTGAAGCAGCCAAACACATGCCTTCTCCTCTCGTTAACTGAGATAAACTGCTGGCATATTTGTTTTACATCTATACTGTCCAGTCTCTCCTGGTGGACATACAGCAGCATTGTTTAATCTCATTTGACTCATTGTTGACCTTAGCCATGTTTTTAGTCTTCTGAGAGCACTGAAGCTTCTTTCAGCCTCAGTAGATGCGTTTTATCCTCAGATTAAAAGTATTATTCTGTGCTTGATGTGCCTCTCCTTTGGCCCTGGCTCTTCCCCTCTGACTGCACTAGGACATATTGCCACCTGATAAAATAACACATTGATTCGTGCCATATAAAAAGTGAGACATGTCAATTCAGATTCTTTGTCAAATATACACTAATGAATCAATTTACATCAGCAGCCTAACAACTGTCATGATAAATACTAGTTAATCTATAGCACCAAACCATCAGTCAGTCACCTGTGACCTCGCCTCTTCACCTCTGTCTGAGCTACAACATGGCAGAGCTGCCTCTGTCACCTGATGAATAACAGTGAGACATTCCACATACATGCAGTCACACATGTGCTTCAAATACAGTCATGAACCATCAAGTCATCATCAAATTCCACCTGTGATCTTGTATCACCATTACTCTCTGAGCTTTGTGTTGGTTCTTCTGTCACCTGACAAATAGGACATACATGACAATAAGAATAAAATGTGGAGCTGCTTCAGTGTTTCTGTCAGTTTGTGCAGATCTTGACTCGTCAGTAATGTTTGTAGGGTGAGTGAATTTTTAAAACACTTTGTGCAAACTGCACTACAAGGTGGATATTTGCAAAATCATGACTACCTCATGACATTTTGTCTCAAAAATAAACCCTATGAATGTTAGTTCCATTAGGATGAAATTACTGTGTCACCAACATTTTAACGTTAGACATATAATTTTAACAGCCTCTGTAAACTAATATCCTGGCTGCTCGAGGCTGCCGTTTTCTCTGACAGCTTCAATCAAAATTAGAAATGCTACTGTGGGAGACTGAGAGAACTAATAGTGCTGCATGTTGTGCAGTTAGTTTCCAAAACACATTATTCATGGTTACATACAATTTTAGACTGATGTGGGCCAAAACCTAGCATAGCCTGTCACTTTATTGTGACGGACACATGTTATGAGTGAACTTGGCTTTAAGCGACTTAAAGGTTTCTTTGAAAAACACTTTCTTATATCCAGGTTCTTCCTCTTTGCTGCCGTCCTCCTCTCCTCCTCGCAGCGCAGGTTTGCCGCTGCTAAAACTACACAGAGCTCCCTGAAAGGCACCGCCAATCACATTGGCCATATTTGTCACATGATGTAGGAAGCCAGTAGAGAAAGTAATTTAACTCTTTCTGCACCGCTGCGTGAATGAGACGTTGACAGATCGTTTTTTTTTTTTTTTTTTTTTTTTTATCGGGTTTGTTTTTTTTTAATCGCTGGTGGGGACATGTCCCTTCCGTCCATGCCAAATCTACGCCCTTGGTATATAGTACATTTGGAAAAACTGAATAAAGTTACGTGACTTACTGACATCCATTTTTCTTTCGTCGTCAGACGGTCAGGATTCTTTCTGGCTCCCGCTTGAAGCGTTTTTGGTTTGTTTGCGTTTCGTTGACCATAACCTCCCCCGGCGCTGATTATGTTCTGGATAAGAGAAGTAACAGGCATGAACTCGTCACCTACTGACCAATCAGTTAACTGGAAAACAGCGTCACCATGCCCTCCGATCTCTCTGCCTGAGGAGTAGGAGGATCTAAAGTTTTCAAGTCTTCACGTTTCCGTAATGATCAGAAAATAAAATAAATGCTTATTGCTTTCTTTTTTCCACATTGTGTGAATTTTCAAGGTTTTATATTTTCCATCCATAATGTCTTAAACCTGATAACTGAATATATTTGCACAGGTCTTTTTGTCCCTCTGAATAAGCACGAGGATAATTTGAAAAAATCAAAAAGCCATTTTTACTGTGCTCAAAATGCTGTTTTCATATGCTAAGCAGGTTTTTAGCAGTAACTAATTTCATTCGTGTACCTCAGTTCTTCATTATCTATTTAAAGGGTGAATTAAAAATGTCCTAAATATCTTTAGGAAGCATTATTATTTTATTGTTAATTATTTACACAGGTGTGTGATACGGGCGACACAAGCTCAGAAGTTTAGGGTTTTTTTCCCCACTGTGAATCCCTGGGCTACTCAGAAACAATAGTTGTGGGCCTTTTAAAGAAGTCCAGGAAAGGGGACAACAGTTTATAAAATGTGTTTTTTGACCCACAAACTGTATATTTAATTTTTTTCTAAATCCATACAGGACATTATATCTTTTACCCATTGCGCATGCAAGAGTCTTTCCACTAAAGCACAATAGCTCGCCTGGCCAGCAGTAATGAAAAGTTTAACGCTCTGAGTCTAGAGTCTAGAGCCATTGCCGAAGCTGCTTCACTGAGCTGCGGCCTCAAGGTGGTTGGTGCCTGTCGTGGTGTCCATACAGACAATATTGATTTGTAAATGATTAAATAACAATCTTGTCAACACAAAGTTCTTTATTTGGAGCCCAGTTCTACAAGAAAGAAGTTACTGAATAAGTGCTTGTGCTTAAAGTGCTTTGGCAGTATTTGAGACAATGTTAAACTTAATCATCATCGACCTGTTTGCTGCTGCCTGCCGCTGAAAGGCATTGAGGAGAGGGGACATTTGGGCAGTGCATTTATCGCATATTATGTGTTTTCTGGATATACTGTGCTTTTTCACCGTTCAGAGGTTGATGGCTCCATGTCAGAGCACTGGCTATGAATTTCAGACGGATCAGGCCTTAACTTACGTTATCAATCGTTCTTTTCATCTTTTCTGATTACCCACAGCTACATCCACTTCTGTCCGGCCTAGGCTCCTCACTAGGGCTGGGTATCGTCACTGATTTCTATAATCCATTCGATTATGATTCGCAAGGTCCCGATTCGATTCAATTTTGCCTCAGATAGTCAGAAATATTATAATTCTGATCATTTATCAGTACTGACACTTGTGAGACTTCATCAGAGGTGTGAGCATCACAGCAGATGTCTTTGTGTCAAAGTAACTGAGGATAAAACACAGAAAAACATAAAGATTTTCCAGGCCTGGCTTTTTATAGCAGATAACTGTCTTAAAAATATTCTGCAATAGAACAAATCAACATATGAACATTACCTGATGCTGCTGAAGTGAAGCAGAGCAAAGTTACAGAGGTTTTATTAAAGACACAGCTAAGCATTTTGCAATTTGGCATAATTTTAAAAATGAGTTTCTTTGCTATTAAACAGCAGAAATTAGGCTTTCTTGTTGGAGGTCATTTTTGGGGAAAACAAAACCAGTGGCTGACAGCACTCTACATGACTTGTGCGTAATAAGTGAACAAATAAAACAGAAAATAGATTTAGGATGGGAAACTGTTCTTGCAGTACACTAAGAGAGAAAGCTGTGCAGGAAGTGTGATTTTTATCATGGTGAAAGCAAAATAGCAAAAGTAAGAGGGAATTAATGACGATGTTTATCAAATGTGAAGCCTAGTTTTGATCTTCTTTTGCTGCTGGTTCAGTCAATTTTGGTTGGAGAGAGACAAAACCTGCAGCACCAGAATCTAGTGCAACAAAAAAAAACAAAGACTTAAACACAAAGTGAGCTGTCGGCTTTCAGCACTGACGGCGTGTCCGCGTATGTGCTATCGGGTGAGAAAGCCACATTTCACTGATTCTGATGCGTCAGGTCCGCGTTGCCTTTGTGCGGAATCCGTTTACCTGTTCTCATTTACTGTTTTAGCTGTTTGGTGGTTGTCAAAATAGTTTTGTGAGCTTTAACCTGAGATTCTGGCATTTCTCAGTAAACCCTTTGTTTTCACTCTGTCCTTTACGACAACAAAAGCAAAAACGTACTTTGTGAACAATATCAGTTTAAATGGTATTTCACTCTCTAGAGGTTCATTTCTCCAGCTTACCAATTCAAAACGTTTAAGCCCGCCTGCTCTGCTTGGCTGTAGAAAGCAAGAGACTGAAACCATGGGCGCTGGCGCTAAGAAGGGACAAGAGCTGGCTAGAGATTCAGCAATTGGCTGACACCAGATGAGTGGAATAAAACAATAGGCTCCCCTCCATCAACATTTGGAAAAACTTAGCCCTTGTTTAACCAAAGCATATATATAAATCTGCGTCCCGTTTATGTTTAAATAAACATAGTGATTTTGTTTCACTGTCATTAAAGAAAGACAGTAAGAGCAGAAAGAATAAACATGACATGTTTTACTTTTCTTTTTTTTCTTCTTTTTTTTTTAAAAGATGTTTTTAGCAACTGGGCCACATGTGGCTTGTTGGTTGTCCCTATCTGGCCAGTGTGAGGTCAAGGAGAGATAAAGACTCAAACATAAATTATACGTCATGCACTTTGTCTCATTTCAGCCACTAAACAGTCTTTCATAAATTTCTGATCAGAAGATGGGACATTTGAAGAGTATGATATAAACATCGGAACAGATAACATTAAAGATGATAAAGTTTTGAAAGTAGGAAAATACAAAACATGAGATACAAAACACAGAAAAAATGATAGTATAGAGCTGTATATTAATATGAATACAGCGCTGTTGTGCAGTGATTTTGAAAGGTTCTCCAACTAAACACTAAAGACTTCTGGTACTGAGCTGCTCTAAAGGACACAGAGCTCACACAGGGCAGCAGAACCGACCAGCAAACAGGATGTTCATGGTGGGGTTATGTCTGATGAAGAAGAGGAAGGGGTGGTCTGCGATGAAGGATTTTAAATTGGCCCGCCTTATCTTGCCCGACTGAAGCTCACAACAAACCCAATTTTCAAAAGTAGCCTCAGTTGCCTTCTCGTGGACCTCCACAAAAGCCTTGTGGATGACTTTTGAAAGTACCAGATCTTTGCGCCCAGACATGCCTGTGACAGAGAAGTGAAAGGAGAACATTTTAAATGAACATAATGCTGCATTTTCATTTTTTATCTGAGAGGATTTTTTCAAATTAAAATCTGATAAAGCTAGGTGGTGATATAGATCATCTGGCTGAGCTGACAACTAAAATACCAAAGGTGCTGCAGGAGCCTGGATTTGAGTGTTTCCAGACCATTTACTGCATGCCATTCAACTCATCCTCTCCCGTTCTTCCTTTCAACTATTCTGTCAAAGTGTTATATCTCCAAAATAACCATGAAAAAAAACCTTCATAAGGTCACTTTAACAGCCTGTCATTAGTGATTAGTGTCAGAGAGTACAGCTGGTTTAGGCAGGATGAACCAGAACACCTCCCTGACTGTCTGTCAGTATTACAGTATTAAAAGTCATGTAAAAGTCCACCAGTCCATTCAAAACCCAGCATCAAAGCTTAGATCCTGCTTTCAAAATCTCACAGTAGTAGGATCATCAAACAAGACAAACAATCTGCTGAAATAAGAAGCTCCATGGTCTTTTGGAGAACTCTTTCACTGCTGGAGCATTGTTGCTCTACACTCTGTTCATAAACACCAACAAACTGCAAACGTATGTCTCACCAGAGAAGTCACACTTTGTGTGATCAAAGGCGTCCACCATGCCCATGCTGCTCAGGACTGTGTTCAGGTCATACGTCTCCTCCAGTGTAAATCGAGGCAGCCTCACATCAATATAACATGTTTGCATCTTGCCTGGATGAGTCCAAGCCACAAATTTCTCGTAGGTCAGCTCCTTCTCCAGCTGGGATG